AATTGCTGCTAACTACTGCAACATTTGTTGTTGCCATATTCGGAGTCGTAGCGGGTATTTTTGGAATGAATTTTGAAATTGAATTATTTAATTACCCTGATGCGTTTAAATGGACTCTCCTCATCACGGGAACGACTGGGCTCGTGATATTTGGTTCATTTCTATGGTTTTTCAGATACAAAAGGCTAATGCCACTGTAAATGCTTTTCATATAAGTGACGGAGGCAGTCATAAACCTAAGCAATTCTTTTGCGATTAGGTCCCCTTAGCCGTATATTTGTTGGCCAAATACAATTATGCTTCTGATGTAGATATAATTTTGTTCATTTTTGACATATACATAAATTTCTGATTGAACTATCTTGCTACTTTGTTTGATAATCCAGTTCATATATTGTTGAAGCAGGATTGCTCTATCTGTTTTTCACACTGCTGTTGATGTCTAGGGTTCCAAATGCATACGGGAATAGAATAATAGATATAATTTATGAGAATTTTCCTTATAATCCTGCTCACATTTGAAATTTAGTTCCAGTATGCATATATAATGTTGGAGTTTAAACTGGGGAGACATTTTTCTTACAACTTATTAAGTGATTTTTAAGCAATTTCACAACCAGAAATGCAGGTGTGGTGCTCCTAATACCATGACTAGAGGTGGCCAGTGGGCCGGGTTGGACCCAGCCCACCCTAACTCGCACGGCTGGTGGGTCACGTGGGTCCGACCCGGTTTCAATCCGGCACAGCTCGGATTTAATCCGGGTTGTGTCGTGGGTCCAAAATTTTCGACACAACCCATTTCAACCCAGCTCAGTTTAACCCGTTTGATTCGACCCAAATCGCACAACCCGTTTTGACTCATTTAATTCGACACACCTAGCCCGTGAACCCACCTAACCCGACCCACCTGGCACAACCCAGCCCGCACGAATGACCCACCCAACCCGCACGAGCCAACCCACCTAACCCGCACGCATGACCCACCCAACCCGCACGCATGACCCACCCAACCCGCACGGCCGGCACAACCCGCACGGCCCGCACAGCCCGCACAATTCGCACGGCCCGCACGGCCTAACATCCATTTTAAAAAAAAAACGGCTAGTTTTTTGTATCTAACGGCTAGTTTTTTGTATCTAACGGCTAGTTTTTTAAGTGTATGATCATCCATTCTATTTTTCCTATAAATACCAATTCCATTTCACTCAAATTTCCACACAAATTCAAGCTTTCTTTCTCTCTTACTTAAAAATTCTTATTGTTCTCAAATTCTCAAGTGTTATATAGAGTTATATTTTTGTTAAAAAAAATCTCCTTAATATTATTATTAGTATTCTTAAGATTCTAAAAAAAAAAAGTTCTTCTCCATATTATAATTAGTAATCATACAAAAAAAAAATGAGCTCAAGAGGAGGAATGGGAAGGAGTCAAAGTGGTGGTCGAAGTGGTAGCCAAAGGAGTGGTGGTGCAAATTTTTCGTATGAAATTAATACGGAAAATTTAAACCAATTTGTCAATGAATATGGAGATTATGGTTTAGGAGATAGGCAAAATATTCAAACGTCTCCACCACAACATTTCTCCCACGAGTCCCACCAATCATCAAGTTCAACTATGCCACCTCCATCGCAACCAACATCTCAACCTTCATCTCAAGGTAATTTCTAATTAAATTTTTATTGTTATGAATATTTAAAAAAACTATTATTAATGATTATAAAGTTAGTTTAGTTTCCAATTTTCTATGATTTACAATTAGTTAATTACCATGAAAAATGCGTTTAAATAAGTATAATTAAAATATTTAAAATTTAAAAGCTTATTTTCATGAATAGCATTTAAAAATTAATTTTAATAATTTGATTTATGAAAGGTGGTGGCGGTGAAAGTAGAGGTCGAGCACATTTTTCTTGGGTGTGGAAACATTTTGAACGAGTTGAGGTCACACCCCCGGGATGGCAACCTGGTCAACCAAAGAGGTTCACGTGTACATGCCTAGTTTGCAAGGCGCTAGGTGCAAATGTCAAGTCATATAATTGGAAAACGGGAGATGGAACCGGAACCTTGAGTCGGCATTTGCAAAATAAACACGACTTGTTCGAAAATGGCCCCCGTCCTTCGGGGGTGGCGTCCAAACACAATTGGGTGGATACATGAACCAACCCGGCGGAGGTACACCTTTCATTTATAATAAAGATAGAATGATTGATGAAATGAGTACTTTAGTTATTGCTAATGAATACACCTTTCACACAAAGCATCTACATCATTCTCATCATCATCTTCTTCAACACTTGCTATTAATGATTATTTGTCATATCAACATGAGACCAACAACAACTTTCAAATTATAAAATGGTGGCAAGAACATAAAAAAAGTTTTCCTATATTGGCGAGAATTGCAAAAGATATACTTGCAGTTCCCGCTTCATCTGTTGCTTCCGAGTCTGCTTTTAGTGCAGGTAGAAGAGTGTTAGATGAAAAAAGATCTCGCTTAACTCCGGAAAGCATTCAAATTTGTGTTTGTAAGAAAGATTGGGATCAAGCTGAAAGAAGAACTCAAGGTTTAAAGGAAGACGAAGACGATGAAGATGATCCTGTGATGATATTGGAGTCGTCAACGGATGATGCAGCTTCCGGGGATGATGATGCAACAAACATGGGTGGCTAGAAAAGTCTAAATCAGGTACGCTAAGAACTACGTGGGCTTTGATTCTTTCGGGATACGTAGGCAACTTATTTTTCGAAAATTACAATTTAATTGCAAAATTAAATTTTAGTTTTCTAAAGATAGGTCCAAGCCCCCCCCCCCCAAATTTCAAAAGAAGTACAATATAAGAACTACGCTGGCTTTGATTCCTTATTTTATAATATAAGGATACGTAGGCATCTTAATTAAGAGCAAGCCATCAAATTGTTAATTTTGTAAAAATTAAAACACCACACAACCCACCCGACCCTAACCCACGAACCCACCCGACCCTAACCCACAAACCCACCCGACCCTAACCCACCTAACCCACAAACCCACCCGACCCTAACCCACTAACCCACCCGACCCTAACCCACCTAACCCACAAACCCACCCGACCCTAACCCACTAACCCACCCTTCGACCCACCCTAACTCACTAACCCACCTTGACCCGTCTAACCCACGAACCTAGCTCGACCCACCCATGACCCGTCTAACCCACAAACCCAGCTCGACCCACCCACGATCCGTCTAACCCACAAACCCAGCTCGACCCACCCACGACTCGTCTAACCCACGAACCTAACCCTGGTGTGTCCAACTTCTCCGACCCAACCCATGACCCGGCCCACCCTACCCTACGTGTGTCGTGCCGTGTGTCATGAAACCCCAACCCGCGACCCAGCTAACCCTAACCCAGCTCGCACGACTCGCACGGTGGACACCTCTAACCATGACGAAAGCTTATACTCGGCTTAGTAGTAGAAGATTCATTCCTGGCAAGGTTCATGTCTATGGATCAGGGCATGTCTGTACATTTTTTAACGGACTAATGACATAATGACCAAGGGAATTAATACTCGAACTGGGGGAGGAGAAGCAGCTAAATAAGCAAGAAAATAAAGCTAATAAACCTGAAGATTATGATTAGTTACTAAGATATCAACAACTTGAGGACTCAAATAAAAAAGGATAAGGCTATTACTTGGTAGCTGCAACACATTTTTTTTAGTATGTTACTTTTATATACTTCTTTAAAAAATAAAAAAAATAAAAAAAATTCCCTATTGAATTTACTTTCAATGCATATTCTAGCTCATAAAGCACTGAACAAGAAATATTGAAAAATTTCCCCTTGATCGCATTCACTTCCAATGCATATTCTAGACCTCTGGCGCTTGCACAATCAATAGGCCAGCTAAGTCAGCTCACACACAGCAATGCACACAGCAAACCCATGAAGGCCCTAGAGGCCAGAGTTCACCACAGCATAAGAAGCAAAATATTATTTTACACTGCAATTGCTCCGTTTTATGCATTCAATAGATATTTCATATTACTTTTCAGGATCAATATCTCCTCGAATTGATTCAGCTACCAGAAGTAACGGTGATGTTCTTAAAAATTACTAGGTTAGTTCCCGTGACATGCACGGTAATTTTTAATAATCATTATTAAACTATTATTATAATCAGTTTTTATAAAACAAAAAAAAATCTAAAAATATTGACAAATTTTGAGCAAAATAAAGGATTTTGTAAGAGATGTTAGATATAAAACGATGTTGAAAATTAGTGAAATAAAGGAATTCACATTGTAAGTTAAGAAATTTTTAATAGCTAAAATATATGTCAAATCTTTTTTATTTTAAGTAATTATATCGTATAAGATTAGAGAATTATTTTTGTAAATAAATTTTGTTTCTTTAATTAAATTTTATTCAAATTCAAAAAAAAAAATAAGGACACACTAGAAAATGACACGTGTCATTGCTGGTGTGTCTTTTAGTATATATAGTTATTGATATGTCAAATCTTTTTTATTTTAAGTAATTATATCGTATAAGATTAGAGAATTATTTTTGTAAATAAATTTTGTTTTTTTAATTAAATTTTATTCAAATTCAAAAAAAAAAACTAAGGACACACCAGAAAATGACACGTATCATTGCTGGTGTGTCTTTTAGTATATAGTTATTGATGATTGGCAGAGCTGAAGAGGAGGGTTCAAGGCCTTCAAGCCTTGGTTAATATTTTGGGCATGACAAATATTGAGAATAGCATCTACTTTACAATTGATATTAGTAAATGATGACATTCCTTGACACCTCAGTTGTCAAACAAATTAATTCAAAGTGCTTCACCTCAAATATGTATTCAGGACCAACCAGAATTTTCTTATACAAGGTTTCACAGAGATTTCTCATGGTATCTGTGCTTGGCAGATCCCCATTCCAGCACTTATCCAAATAACAAGCTCATTAGCATACTGTTGACACCGAAATTCATTTTCGCCATTGGAAAAACCTACCCTTCAATTTTATGCAAGTTTATCAAACTGGGAAACACATCTCCTACAAGATCATGGTTAATTTTTAAACCAAGAAGAAGTGCTTCCCATGACATAGAACCTGGTAAAACACCGTGGTCAGACACTATATCAAGAGTATGCAACGCCTCTGGTATAAGTCCCTCGTGACACAAACTACATATAATCTTGTCATAAGTGGAGAGCATTGGCAGGAAACTCATGGAAAGCATCTGCCCCAGCATATTGCAAGCTTCAGTAACTTCACCCGCAGTAACCAATGCATCAATCATCAACTTATATGATTGATCATTCAATTCTATACCTTTCTTATTCATCTCACTCCACACCTCCCTCGCTCTACTCAAGTTCTCAACCTTGCAAAAAACTTCCAATACAGTATTATAAGTATTCAAATTAGGTTGGCAACCCAGTTCCACCATGCAGCCAATCATCTTATACGCATCCTCGGCTTTCTTCTGTTTACCTAAGCCCTTTAGGTACACATTATAAGTAAGCACATCAGGAGCTAGACCGAAAATAAGAATTTCATCAAACAACTCTTCTACTCTAGAAAACTCTTCTGCTTCAACAAGACCATTGAGAGCCATTGTATAGGACATGATATCAGGCTTAATTCCCTCCCTTTTCATCTCACATAAAACATCAAATGCTTCTGTACCCTTCCCTTGTCTCTCCAAGAACTTGATCACATTGCAATAATCATCTCTACCGGGGCAAAACCCGACTCGTTTCATGTCTTCCCAAACACCCATTACCTCCAGACTAGTCACATTTACATTCTTTTGCCTACACAATGATCCCAGAATCAAGGAATACAATTTCCCATCAGGATCAAACTCATCATAAATCATGTAATTTAGCAACTTAATAGCAAAATCAACCTTCCCAATCCTACAAAGGGCATTAATCAATATCGAAAAACTTGAACCCTCCATTCGAATATTCATAACCCTACTCTTTAACAACAATTGGGGAACAATTCTCAAACATTCTTTATTTCTACAAAGAACAAAAAGCAGAGAATTGAGTGAAAGTACAGTAGGAATACACCTGAATTTAGGAATCCTGAAGAACAAATCAATTGCCTCCTTAATCATACCCTTTTCTCCATAAACCCTAATCAAATCAACAAAAACCCTTTCTGGGGTTTCAGATTTCTCAACATTTTGGAGATATAAAAGAACATGACTAAGCTCATTGAATTGGGATTTTTGAATTAGGGTTTTGATAACCATATTATAAGCACTTGGTGTTGGGTCACATTGGTAAGAATCGAAGGAATTTATGAGACTACTGAGAAGATTATAAGGGGTTTTAGGAGGGTTTTGATGAAAATTTGAATCTGGGGTTGAAGAAAGACACGATTTTTTTAGGGTTTGAAGTGCTTGTTGTTGATTGAAAATGTAATGCCATCTTGTTTTGTAAGGAGAACGAATCCATTTTCTTCTTCTTCTCAGAAATAAATTTGGGATTTTTTGCGAAGAAGATTTTAGCACCATATGAGCAACAGTAAGAGCAAGAAATGAGCAACTGCCACAGCTTATTACAAAAAAAAATTGGTTTTTTTTTTAATGATTTTTTATTTCAACCTAAGAAATTAAATGCAGGTTAAAAAAAATATAATTTTACTGTAAATTTCTGTTAACTTTTTGAAAACTATTGAAATTAGTCCAAGATAGAAATTTTCAAATATGGGAGCAATATGCTGCTCACTTGCTCATGTACTTTCTCAAAAAAAAAAAAAAAAAAAAAAAAAAAAAAAAAAAAAAAAATTGTTGCTCATGTAAGATTCTACGAAGTAATTTTGAGCCGATGACATTGTTGGCTAGATAGCTTAGTTAAGAAAATTTTTGCATGGTATGGAAAGTATGTGTTAAAGTGCGCCTTGAATCAATTTCTGATTTGAGATTACTACAAAAACTATATAGATTCTAACCTTGCCTAATTATGAAATCAATATATCTCCATATTCCATGTAAAATTTGTTTCTTGTCTTGTTGATTTTGCTTAATTTTTGGCATTGGTTATAGTAATGTGGAATCTGCATTATGTAATCATAATCATCACTGTTCTTTGGCTATATAAGGTATACAATAACCTTCTACAACATCGAGCCATCAATAACAAATATCATAACGATTTACAACAAAGGACGGACAAAATTTCGTTTAACTTCTATTACTCTATAACAAATGAGAGTTATTTAGTATTTCTGGACGTCAAAGAATAAATTTCCTCTTCATAATACATATACACAAATAAATAAAAAATATTAGAGGACAAAGCTTTTACACTAACAAATAAATAAAAAATATTAGAGGACAAAGCTTTTACACTATCTCTTAGATTCTATGGAAGTGATTCAAATTAATGTACTAGAGCTGTAACACTAGTAGTGTTAGTTTTTACATCATATAGCTTGTGCAGCGTTTCTTCAGACTTCGTATATGAGCAGAAGGGCGTAGACAGTTTAGTTTGTTAATACTGCATATTTTTTCCCTATCTTCCAGACACCTGATTTAAAAGGCCAATGTTTCTGTGAAAAAAAATCTATATCCCAGTTTTCGGTTGCTGATGAAAGAGTCATTAAAGCAACCACAACTGATTTCATTGAAGGACGTAACTCAGGTTTCTCATGAGTACAGGCTTTTGCAAGCTCAGCCACCTAAAACATGAACATAAAAAACGTTTTCAGAATAAGGCTCTGACTAAGCGTCCAGATCTGGTTGTCACGCTTCTAGTTCAAATTACACTAACAGCATGAGTATCGTTAACAGATGCTGGACTGGGAGTATAATGTGATAGTTGAATGTGTAGGCATCTCACCTGACGGACAGAGTCTAGCTGGTAATCATCACCCAGATTAGGATCAATCAGCTTGCAGATCTCATTAGAATCAGGAAGATTCACAACATCTTCAAACTGCAATGCAAAATATAGTAATTCAAGGTTGGTTATTAGTTGCAGCCTTGCAGGTAAAGATGCAATAAAAGGCTGTTTGAGTATGAGGCCATATTCGGTCTGTAGTCAATTTGCTTATTGTAGGGTCGATTTTCAAGCTCACATTCTTTTGATAAACACACTACTAGATCAATTGTAATCAATCACTTACAAAGTCCGATGCAACTAATTATGCCTTTAGAAGTTTAGCAATGTAGGGTAGATGCATAAAGCGGGCATACCAGAGTAACAAGACCCCTTGATTCTGCAACTGAATTGTTTTCCCTAACTATAGCTGGTTTTGCTGATATGAGTTCATAAAGAACAACCCCAAATGCGAAAACATCTACCTTCGGAGTCACTTCACCAAATTGAGCGTACCTTAACAAAGCAATATAAGAAAGTCATGGTTACAACTTGAAAAAAAATCATCTGTTTCAAAGTATCAGCCATTAAAAGAACCTTTTCAATTAAGGCCACTGTATACACCATCCATCTTTATAAGATTGTCCATGACTTACTCAGGTGGCATGTATCCAAATGTTCCAACAAGGCGAGTTGGCAAAGTCGAGTTTTCAAATTCAGCTAGCTTTGCCAATCCAAAATCTGCAACCTACAAAAAAAAGTCATTTTTGTGAGTGAACATAACTATTGAATGGCCAACAAGTCAGGCAATTCAGGCAAAGCAATACCTTGGCTCGGAAGTTCTTGTTTATCAATATGTTTGCTGATTTAATATCACGGTGTATGTACACAGGATTAGTGTGTTCATGGATATACTCAAGACCTCTAGCTGAATCAAGGGCAATTTGTACTCTGGTGGACCATGTCAATGGATCTTTTCCTAAAGAAGGGATTTAATCAATCATTAGCACCGGCTTATTTACAGCTATTGATTACTCCACAAGTTAATATTCAAGCACCTGAGCCGCGCAAATGTTGGCTTAAGTTCCCATTATCAATAAACTCATACACCAGAAAAAGTGAACCTTCCACACAATACCCAAGTAAGCGGACCTGCACTAAAGAGAGGTTATTATTAATGATAAAAGTATGAAACAGTCAAGATTCTGAAGGGATGCAGAAGATAAATCTTTCATCATACTCATATGCTTCAGCCTAGCTCATTTATCACAACCTTAAAGCTCGTTGGCACAACATAGTGTTAAAGTTGGCCCAAATTCTTACAAGCCCATTAAAGAGCATTATGCAAAATTTGTTCTAGCAAATAATCTAGCTACCACCTAATACTAGAAGTCAAAGGACTAATCCAGAGATTTCCACTCTGTCGATGGAATTTGGTAGAAAATTCCATTGAATTTTCTTGGCTTTGATCACCGACATATACATTCCTATAAATATGATGCTATGGCCATCATTTACATGGGAAAACACAAGATAAAAGCCATATTCACTAAAAGCGTTCTACTACAAAGTCTTTCCACCTGTTAGTTCGTTTACTATGTTACTCGGATTCGGGTACCCATGTCCGACATGGGTATGTGTCCAAGTATCCGACTCGGCTATTTTGTGAAAAAATTCTATGATTTTGAACTAAAATGAAGTGTCCAAGTGTCATACCCATGTCCGAGTGTCGAGGGTCCGACACTGGTAGTTGAGGTAAAACGAAGAGTCCGAATAACATAGTTCGTTTATACCTAAACTTCCTCCTTGTAAACAATTTCTCGATTTATTTTACCCTTCCGTTACGTGCACATATCCTAACACTTAGTGATGAACTTGTTGTCACTACTTACTTCTAGCACAAAAACTTTGAGAAGATCACATTTTCCGGTTCAAAAGAGTATCATTTCTGAAAGACTCAAGGACACGTGGATGGTTTTGACATCGACCAATAGGATCTTTAGTCTTTCGTGCTTCTAAATTAGAGGATAGTACATTACCTGCTAAATTCACGGATTAATTCGGTATAATACCTTAATTTAGCAGGCAAAGTTCTCACCCTTCTCAACCAGTGGATAACAAATAATTTGCATATCCTCCTTATGTACTTCTCATATATTCCTATTCCCTTTACAATTTACATCTCCTTATTTATCACTCAAACAATCTTATTTTACTTAAGTTATGAAAATATTATCATAAAATATAAGATTAAAGTGCCTAGAAAAAGTTATGATAATCTTATTTCTGGAGTTAAGAAAGAGTAAAACTAGAAAGTAGTGAACAAACTTAGCTGGTCTGATTATATATATATATATGAAACTAGTGGCTCGTTAATTCATTATAAAACTCTAAGCTTTAATTTGTCTAATAAAAATATAAAATAAAATATTTTGATTAAAGAAAATTTCCATGAATCTAAACAATAATCTAGATAAAGAAGATAATATTGATCGTAATGAAGTCAAATTAGGAAACATACCAAATGTAGATGATGCACACGAGTTAAGACTTGCAGTTCGGCAATAAACTCTTTTGAGGCTTGCATATCCATCTTTTTTATTGCAGCTTTCTAAATTGATTTATGATTCATTGAAAATTAAATGAAATCAGGTAAATATACAACTAAGAAATGACATAACAAAGAAGGTAAATATACAAAATTTAGGATAATTTGTTTTTACTTTCATGTAGAATTCCCAAAGATGTAGAAAAGTAGAAAGAATCACATCAATGTCTAATCCTTTGCATCATTAAGTTCATGACTTTTATTCGTAAAAACTGCAAGTTTTAACTACAAACCTCGCCTCTGAGCTCTCCTAAGTAGACTTCTCCAAATCCACCCGCACCAATCACATAACTTCTGTTGAAATTCTCTGTCGCTTTTGCAAGCTCTTTGTAAGAGTACTCTACAGAATTGCTATATACGCCTGAATCATCAGCTGTATCTCCACCTTGATTGAAGGAATCTGCATCAAAATAGAAAGTTATAAGGGCAAATCCTTATAAAAATTGACCTAAACCTGCATATGCTAATAACTAAAGGTACCGTACAATTTTAGATGGAACCTGCGTGTTCAGCAAGATGTAACGAGGAACAAACTATTATATATAGCATTATAGAGTATGATTCTTAAAAATCAGAATCATCCTACATAATGGGAAAGTGTATTTCCAAGAGGAGATAGCATTACTTGAATGTGTTAGCTGGTATCCAAGTTTCTCAGATCGTGAAGCCTCTTTCACATCTTTACTTCTCTTGTATCTTAAATAAAGCCAAACTGACAGAGCAATTAGCCCAACTGCTGCTAAACATGTACCGGCAATAGCTCCTGCAGCAAGCCCTGTGGCAAAAGGAACGCGATTATGTAATAACCTGAGAAGTACAGCT